ATAGGTGTATTTATATGTTGTGTAATGTAATGTGTTGACAATGGTGTTTCAGGATTGTTATTGAGGCCAATTTTGGAGTGTATAGATACCCATTCTAGTGAAATTGGTTTTGGGTGTCGAAGAATGAGGGAAATTTGTTGATATTTGGCTTGAATTTGCGCATGGCTTTCTTCATATTTCTTGCATTTTGATTTCTGTCAAGCGTGTCTAGAGAGAGAGAGGAAGATCCTCTTGTATTAAGACATGGATGATATTGCGGGTTTAGCTGAAGCAGCAGGGTCAAGATTTAGCCAGTTGGAGTTGATTGGTAGAGGATCATTTGGCGACGTCTACAAAGCGTAAGTCATTTTCCTTAGTTACAATTTCACATTTTTTTAGCACAGGAAGGCTATAAGTGAAGCTGACTTACTGTTTTCTTTAATGCTTTCCTTTGGCTAATTCTACATGAGCATTGCTATGGTGGAATAATTGGAAAGAATTTGTTAATAGCAAATTTGAGCGCCTTTGAGTTCTAGGATGTGTCTCTTACGCACATAATAATCAGGGTCTTTGAGGAAGCATGTTTTGGGACATAATGTATAATCTCACTGTGCACATGGTCTTTCAGAAAAAAATTTAGGATAACTATAAACAGAGGAAGGTATGAAATGGGTGGCTGGTTGGTTCGGTGCTCGCTTTTGGTATAGAAGTGCCTAGGATTGAATTTTCTTCACACTAGTAATCAGGGTTCAAGAGAAACAAGATCATTGTCTTCCCGTTCTTTGGTCTATCAGCTGTTGTTGGCCTTTTATGAATCAAATTAAAATATATATATACTAAAAGAATAAGGTAAAATGTTTTAACTGCTCAATAGTGATTTTCATCAACAAAAGTTTATGATGCAGAAACATGTAATTGCTTACATTTTTAATCTTGGCAAACAATTGATTGTGGGATGTAATACTCAAAATTTTAATTTTATTTGATTAGTGAATCTACTTATGTTATGATTGAGTTAGCTGGACCTTGGACTGTTGGACATATATTGAAAAACTACATAATTGATATGCATTATTATTTTCTTTTTGTAAAAAAGCATTATCACACCTGGATCTTTCTTCTTGGGTTAGTTTGATGTGATTGATTTAGTCATAGTCATCTTTATTATGCAAGCATTATTTAGCTCTTAAATGCATCTTTTAGCACTTATATTTGCTACTTAATGACCATTAAAAAAATTTGCTATCATAATGTGACACAGAATGACTGCTAATACAGAATCATCTC